CCCCCCCCCCTACCCTGGGAACAGTCCCTCCACCAAGCCACCTTCGCCGGTGTTCCTGCAGGAGAGAGATCTGCCCGTGGTCTGCCCGTGGGGGTATGGGAATCTCGCGGGACCGGACAGCGGTAACCGTACACACAGTGCACCTCCTTCGTCTGTCGTCTACACGTCTTGATTGTTACTTGTTGTGTGGGAATAGCTAACAGCTAGGGGGGGTACCTGCGACGCTTCCAGTGCCGGACAGAAAAAGCCAACGTCTTGCCATGTTTACCTCGGTACCCACCCTATGGTAAGAAAGTGACTGACAGCTACTTGACAACGGCAGTGCTCGTATGAATACGCATGGTAGACATGTAAATAGTAAAACCCCCATCAGACCGGATGGTTCCAAGATATGGAACAAATGATGGAACCACGGGTCTCATCCAATGTGTGGGGACATGTGTGCGCAAAGAGATCACTCCCTTCTTTCGCTCCGAAAACTAGTGAGCTGTAGCGTTGTCCGCTAAATAATTGAGAGTGCGCCTAACACTCGGTCATCGCAGCAGTCTTCGGGCGGGGTTTCCTCCGCCGTCCGCGAGCCAACCTCCACCGCCTCAACCGAACCGGGGTTCGGCAGTGTTCATGGACGCGGGCACTCCGATCGACGCTGCTGCGACGACCGAGTGTTCGGCATACTCTCAATAATTAAGCGAACAAAGCGACGGCTCACTAGTTTTCGGAGCGAAAGGTGGGAGTGATCTCCTTGCGCACACATGTCCCCATACATTCGATGAGATCCGTGGTTGCATCACTTCTTCCAAATCCTGGCATCATCCGGTCTGATCGGAAATTTTACCCCACACATTTCGTGGCCTGATTTTCGGTTTTCAGTTTGGCCAGCAGCTCCGGGCGTCCGGCGAGGCAGTCGTCGTGTTGGCAGACCACTACGGCGTACATTTCGACCGCTGAGCGCGTCGGTTGGGACCTGTCGAGGGGGGCCTTATCTCCGACGGTCACGGCGGAGGGTGAGAGGGGGGACCTCCCTCTTACGGCGGCCTGCATGACGGCCTCCCCGCAGAATCATTTTGCGGGTGGTTGAGCTGCCGACGCAGTTTACCATGCACTCCTTTCGTGTAGGCGGTTCCCTCAGCAAGTCGCTGGCGGGGACCGCGGGAGGCGAAATCATGCAGACTGGGGGCTGGAAGACGGAGTCGGTGGCGCGGCACTACATTGGAGCTAGAATACCACTAATGGTCGCCTGTCGGGTATTGTAGCAAGCGGGGCCGGGGGCAGAGTTACGCCGATGCGAATGATATGCCCCTGTCCGCGGAGTTCAGAAAAGAGTTTGCCGCATGCGCGGGACGTCAGTAGGTACCGGTACAGGTGAAGGAAGCCTGGGTGAGTCCCCATCTCGCCGGGGTGGAGAGAGAAATCAATGGAGGTAGCGAAGGATGGGCGGGACCACGGCCCGGCGCAGGAGGCCTCTTCCAATCCAATAGTTTCACTAACCCTTTTGGGTCTGCAGGCGTCCCGACAGATCATTGATTGATCGATCATTCGTAAATGATGATGTTGTGGCATGCCATGGAGTTGCCGCCCTGTGTCCCTCCACGCCAGGTGTTGGCAAGTCAATAGGTAGGTGTGTCTTCATTATTCGCATCGACCGCGCTACCCGGTGGCGAATGAAAAGACGTTAGTGCCAGCGGGAAATATCAAGGTCCCTGGAACGGCCAAAATTAACAAATGCACATTGCTCTAGATGCGAATACCACGATGAATCTCTCCCCATATCCTTTCACAGAGACACACATCAATAGCTCCACATACATGCCCTCGCCCGAATCTAGGAAGCCACTAAGGCAAAGGCAGGAGGGTCACAGAGACACACATCAATAGCTCCACATACATGCCCTCGCCCGAATCTAGGAAGCCACTAAGGCAAAGGCAGGAGGACAGCGAAAGGGAGCACTTCAAGCCCAAACAAGCCAGGATATCGTGGTATGCTGCATACCCTCCAAATTTGAAAATCGTACACTCCCAAGGTCCAGCACAATTATCATGTCAGCGGTTATTCTGCACAGCAGCAGCTGTACAGACGAGCCAACATTTACAGCAGAGTAGGTAGTAAAACCATACACTATCAGCATAGCTCCACACATACCCTCGCCCCAACCTAGAGAGCCACTGATGCAAAGGTAGGTGTGTGCTGGTGTGTGCTTGCGTGCTTGTGGGAATTGTGGAAAAATCACAGGAGCGGTAGTGAGCCGGCAGGGCTCACATTGGGGAGGGGACAGAGAAGTACAGAAGTACAAGAATCAGCTACATGGGTCTACCAGCCCTCTCACTGATCATTTTCACTGATCATTTCAATATACTAAAAATAGAGTAGTGCAGGCGGCTTGACTGACCTTTTCGAGGTCTAGTCTACAACCCTAAACTGCGCTACTGGCCGCACCGAGACCACGCATCAACCCTTATATGATCCTGTCTGTGTCCACCGTCCTGTCGCGGGCAGCCCTCATGGCCTATGGGTGGAGATAGCTGTTGCGTCTACAGAAGTACACTCGTGTTCTCTCTGCTGTACTTGTGTCTCTCCCCGCACTCTCTCCTCCCTTTTTTTCTTTTGCCGCAAAGAAAAAAGAAAAAAGAGGTAGACCCAAAGGGGTTGAATGATCCTCGCTTTGGAGTCAGAATATTACAGGAAATACTGCTGCACGTAGGTGGATTGTGCGTGGCTCAAGAAATGAGAGCGGGTAGGCGGGCGTTGACACGACAAGCGCTCACGGAAACGACCGCGCGGTCGTGCAGGTGGGACATGGCTACTTCATGGCAATCAACCAAATGCACACCTCCCTTGCACCTGCTGACTCGAAAAGGCGCGAGGAGACCAGAGATGACACAGACTCGTTCGCAATTCTCATGGCAATATTACTTTCGTATCTAGGTCTCTGCAACAAGTGTTTACATCAGAATGCGACCTATCGTGGCTTTGCGCTACGATCTAATTCAACTACAAGTGTACACTACAGGGCCAAATGGCTCAACGGCCGAGAGCACGATGTGGTCTATTGACACTTGCTGCTGCTGCTGCTGCTGGAGTCTGAACCACAGGCTCTGCCCATCCTGCTGCTGAGTACGAGACCTGTCCATCAATCCAGATGCTACTGAAGAAACACTGCCACATAAAAGGGGCAAGTGCTAGCGCGCCGAGCTCACGGTATTCAATGGAACTGCCTGAAAATCGTCGGCCAAGCCTGCTCTCCAAGCGAGATGCTCTGCTGTTGCGCAGACTCTTTGAGTGCCATCGACGGCAGAAGCAATGGCTACCCCAGGAATGTAGCGCAGGACACCCCAGGCCGGTTACTCACCGTTTGAGGTTGGACTGAAACAAAAAAACAAGCCCTGGACCTCCGATAACTCCAAGCTTCGCTGACCTCTTGGCTCGCTTTCTCCCTCTCTATCTCCCTGTCTCTCTCTCGTCGATGGCTCCTGATGTGCAATGCACGCGAACTGCGATCCGCGGGGAGACGCAGGTGCGTCACATTTTACCCTGGATGCAAATATTCCTATTTGCGGGCTCCCCACCCTCACCCTCGAGTGCTCCACAGCCGGCGGCTCTGGGCCTGCAAGGCGTAGACGGGAGGAAGAGGGAGAGGATGGCGAGTAGAGGGGTGCACATACCCACGGTTAATATCTCGTCACTGCTGACCGCTAGTGGTGAATCGTTCAGGTGACGAAATGGCAGTGTAGTAACACGTTGGATTGCTGAGCAGCATGTGAAGCCTGGTCAATATCATGCCACCGCAGCAGCAGAGTAAACCGAGACTTCACACTGCGTACTGGCATGGTAACACGTGAAGGGACCCGGCCAAGATTCAAAGGTTCATGTTGTGCCATGGGTCAAGCCATGACGTGGAGAGCGGTGCTGTGCATCTTGATCAAGACCATCAGGTCTCTCCGGCCTGCCTGATATTGACTACTGCTCTGCGTACCTGTCGCATCTCCGCAGCGAGGAGGATCGAGCGTCCACTTCGAACGCCTTGCTGCGAGCTTGTGAGACCCACGGGCTGTTCTTTGTCGTAGGCCACGGCATCACGACGTCTCAGAGGCGCCTAGCGTTCGACAACGCCAGGTGATTAGAGTTTGTGACCGGGACTTCAACTGCAGCTTTGTCCGAGGGGTCGCGGCCCAATCTCCCCGCAGTCCGTTATTATAGTCCGTTCCCAGTGCAGTTCCCAGTCCCAAATTGTGTTGCCTGTGCAAGAAATATTCGAGAAGACCAGAGAAAGATCCAGCTTGTATGTACGTACCTGGTAGTGCAAATACCGGGAATAGCAGTGTGGACCAGACCCCCACCACAGGTGATTGAAACCTACACGGCTGACACCTGAGGCCGACAAAACTCGATGTTAAGAGAACTACCGGGGACTAATGGAAACTGACCTTACATTTTTCACCCGTTGTTGACGACACCCGCCATCGTGTCATTCTCCGTCATATCTGCTGTTGTAAACGGCAATCGCCATCATGCCAAGCTTTGTATGGGGCCTCTCGGATGAGTTGTGTTCGCGCAACACTCTTGCACACAGGGCCGCGACACGAAATGGCGGGCCAACCAACTGCTGTTCTTTTTTCCTTTCGTATGCAAGACCGAGGGATCTACACTGCAAGTATGTAACTATTCTGTGTCAAGTCAGGCCACTGCTACTATAGAGTATTGCATCTACGCATCATCAACGGCATTTGCGCGATTTCGTGCGCGCCCTCGAATTTCGCATCGCCTACTCGTTTTCGGCTGTGTGACGCGCGCTCGCGGGCCCCGCGACTTTCTCCGACGGACATGTAAATCAGGCGATTTTTTTCCCTTCCGGAAGCGGCGAAACGGAAAATCCCCGCAAAGAAGGGCGGCTTCACGCGAGGCTACATCGGATTCGGCGGAGAGAGCGGTTCGCACCTTCGAGAGTGCAAGGAGGCTTTCAGCTACGGGTGAGGCAACAAGCTTGACACTGCCGCTACTGCTGCTGCTGCTGCTGCTGCTGTTTGTATGTTGCGATAGGTTCTGGTGGTACCACCCGCGGGGCTGCAAATCTCCGCACGTTAATAATGTTAAACATCCTGCTCTTCGTTGCTGCTGTCCTCCAGCAACCGATCGCGATTCTGAAACTTGTGTTTTTGGCGCGTGCCGGCGTCCCGCGGCGACGGTGTGAGTGTCACTCTTGGTCATGGGCCAAACGAGGGACTCGTCAGGGTTGAAAGGGGGGCACACGCATGCACGAATGCTGCACATGTTTCGAAGCTCGGCCTACCGAGAATGTTTTTCGGCGCCTACGTTAGGCCAGTGCTACAATGCACAGCCCTACCAACCTCCTCTTGGAAGGCCGGCCTTCTACCGCGATTGCTCGTAGGCGTCCCCTTGTCTGCTTCACTGTTCCACCATAGCCCGTGGTCAGGTCAGGATGGCAAGATATAATTCCGTAAGAAGCGCCCGCGTCAGTTGGACCGGTACGGATACTAGAAGGTACTGAGCGGAGACCAAATGTTGTTTAATGCGAAGACAACACTACCAACACTACCAACAACAACAACAACAACAACAACAAACAGCGGTGATTATTCGTTTGTTTCCCCGTCCAAGATCTGATATGTTCTCCGTTTTTCCCCCGCAGGTATCCTTGGCCCAACGACCAGCCCCCAAACAACGCTCTCCAGGGCCCTAACATATGGCCCGACAGCGACTCCCTGGGGCAAGGCTGGCGAGATAGCTTGTCGGCGCTCTTCAGGTGTGAGCTAAGGACATGAAAACAGTTCGACACTGAAATTCAGCAAGTACTTGAGCAACAACTGTGAATGCTCGTTTTTTGTGTTTTTGCCAGGTCTTGAAAGGCACACAGCAGTCAGTCCCTCACGGGAACGTGGCTTCTGGAGCAAAAGCGGTGGATACGCCACCACCGAGGTTGAAGATGTCCAAAAAAGCCTTGTGTTTTTTCAACGGTCGATGATCCCTCCCTTTCAACGTTCGCAGTGCTTGTCAATGACCCTACATGCTGTTGGAAAACCGTTTGTACAGATTTTCAGAGGTCACATTTGCTTGTGAACGGCCCTACAGGTTGATGGTGTCGGTGAACGAGGCCGTTGCGAGGGGTCTCTCGCTCTCCCAAGACCTCGGCCTGCAGGACCTCCCGGCCCTTTGCCAGGGCGGGGACACCATCAGCTTGTTGAGGCTCTTTCACTACTTCCCCTACAGCAACGACGCTGCCAGTAATAGCAGCAGCAGCAGCAGCAGCGCCAGCGGGAGCGGCAGTTACAGCGGCAGCGGTACCGGAAACGGCAATTGCAAGAACGACGATGACGACGGCAGTGCCATGGCCGTCGCAAGCACGGGCTTCAGCACCGGCAGCAGAAGCTCTGGCAACGACTGCACTGGCAACAGCGGCGGCAGCAGCGGCAGCCGAGGAGGAAGTGGTGCGGGAAACATTGGATCCAGCCCGCACACCGACTGGTACGGCATGTCAAACGTGTGTGCACTGAAGTTCTTTTTTTTTGTGCCCCCCGCGTTTGTTCATGTCACGCCTGTGATGTTCGTCCGTCGTACTTCGTTAGATGCTCGGGGTGATGGCCTTACTTTGGGTCGCACACCACAGCCCCACTGATTTCGGTGCCAATTCCAAATGTGTATTTTCTGAATATGCACTTGTATGAGAGTGCTGCAAAAGGGTGCTGGGAAACAGGCAAAAGCGTAACTGCTGTGTACGCCTTGCCGCCGCACCTGACCGTCTGGGCGCTGGGCTAGCCCTTGTGGCTGTCATTGAAGAAGCCACACGGCTGCAATATCTCTCACTTCACAAACAAGTGCGCGTCTCGCCCGCCCCGCAGAATTATCGTTTCGGTGTACGTGTTGCTGGCACTCAATTCGATTACACGTCCGCCCCCCCCTTGTTTTTCGATGGCTACAGCATGAAAAACATGCCCCTGTTGTTCTCACGTGTTTCCCATCCAGTCGTGGTCCCGGTATAGCGCGGTGCATAGTGCCAAAAAACGTTATAACCGCTATTGAGGGCATCGCCGCTAAACCGTATTGGCAGTATTATAGTAATAGCTTGACTGCCGATGTGCTTCCGTGCCACGAGATATTGGAGTCCCTATTGAGGGCATCCCGCTAAACAAGGAACCGCTACGCCGGGACCACGACTGTATGCGCTCGCAGGGGTTTGTCGACAACCATTCTCCAGGACGGGGCTGGAGGCCTTCAGTTCCTGGAGCAAGCGACTCAAAGGTGAGGAGGTTTTTGTTGGCTAAGGTAGCAGTCCGCAAGTTCCAACGCGAAGGCTTTCTCCGCGTTTGCTTACGAGAAGAGATGGCACCCCCCGCGCTAGACCGACTTTCACAGCTCGCTTCCTAGACATGCACCGGGTGCGGATCGAGCCAGATACGAAAAGCCTTCAACGAGATTTTCCGAAACCCGCCCTCCTTTATCTGTTGTTGTGGACCCAGTTGGACCTTGAAAAATCGGTCCAGGGGGGGGTGCCATCTTTGTGCCTCTTACCATACTTTCTTCCGAAGGAACCTCGTGCTTTGTTGCGGCGGAACCTCGCACCCCGTGTTCCGATTGGCGCGGCGGTCGACGTGTTCTTCTCGGGCTGGGTTTGGGGAACATTGTCGACAGCACCCCAGTGGGCTGTAGCGCACCAGGGACCTGTTTCCTCGGCAGTTGTCTGGATCCTGTAGGTGTTACCATTGCTGTCATACTTTATAATGTTGTACGACCGCGCTGGAGTGGAGTTGCGGGGAGTTTTGGGGATGGGCAGAACTAAGTCTCGTTTCACACACAGCAGGGTCGCTTGTGTTAGTCGTTAGCGCTCTTGGGCTTGATCTGAGAATTGCGTCCAAAACGTGGGGTCTCTGCGGGGCGGCCTTCTTGACGGCTGGCCGTTGTTCGAAGCATAAGCATTGGCGACACCGAGCTTTATCGAAATACCCTGTGAACCACCGGGGTGAAAGGTCTTCCCTAAGCCTATCGGCACAAGCCGGGCGTTGGTTTAATCAAATGCCAAAGGAGCGGTATGTTTGCGATTTTCTACTGCTTTGCCGGATGAATGCGTGTTCAAAGGCGACGAATGCGAGCGGATGGCAATAGCCTGGAAAACAAGTGGTGCCTCCGACCTACCCATAGGGGTACCTTTCTTTTTGACGCCTCGTGTGTCGCTGTTTTTCTTGTTACAGGTGGGTGGACGTCTCTTGCTCCCAGGAAGACGCGCTGGTGTTCAACTGTGGCGACTACCTTTCGCTTCTGAGCAACGGCCGCTTGAAGTGAGTCTGGTGGTTTTAGGTGGTACAGTAAATTAGCATGGACTTTCGCCGGCAGAAGGTTTCAATCCACCAGTTTTTTTCAGAATAGTTCCTGTGCCAGAGAGCTTACCCTGAAACTGGAACCGGAACCAGCACCCAGCACGTCGGGGCCGTGTTAAAAAGGCGCGCCGGTCTGTGTAGGTACGTTGGTACGCTCGCTTTTGACGCCACACCGATGTCAATACATTTTGCGCGAAGGCAAATGTGTAGTTGTGTTTTTTTGCTGTGCTGTGCCGATATAATGAGGAGCACCATGGTTAATTCGTTTTGAGTTCGGTGCCGGCGGAACTTGTGCAGCCTCTCGCTCGAAGTTCGACATGACATCTCGCTGCACGTATTTCCCCCTCCCATATCGACACCGGGGATGCGTGTGGGCCAGGTCTCCGGTGCACCAGGTTGTGACGACCGGTGTCGAGCGGACATCGTTCGTGTTCTTCTATTACCCCAGCTTCGACGCCAAGCTACCCGTCGTCGCTCCACGCGACGCGAGTTCCAGCGCAGGAGCAACCCCAACAAACCCGGCAGCGGCGGCAGCCACGGAGAAGCAGGTCCCGCGCGAGCCGCGGGAGGCATTCGGGCCGTACAACACCTTGCTGGACCTCCGCAATAAGCAGCGGGATGGCGACGCTGCAGCAGCATCAGCCGTAGATGAGGACGATGCATCCTTCGGGCAGTACCTCGCCAGAAAGTGGGGAGCTGTCTTCCGAGAAACATAAGCTCTACAGAAGAAACAAACTCCAAATTTTACCATCAATGGGTGGCTCAGCCTTGGAGTATTTCGAGAGACGAGCGTCAGTAGATCGCTGTGGGCCACGGCTGCATCCCCTGTTGAATATAATCTTCTCGACGAGAGGGGAGCAGAAACCCCAATATTGAAGACGTCAACCATACATCGGGGACTGAATAAAACGAAACAAATTCAACAAGGAACTTGCCATCTAGTCTACAACAAGACACAGGGAATCCTTCTCAGCATGCCCACAACCTTCACCTCGGCAACGTTATGTCCTCGGTTTCCCGTGGGACCGGGTGCGTGTCAGACTACCGTTGGCTGCGGAAGATATCACACCCCCTGGACCGATTTCCGAAGTTCGATATCTCGGCAGGTTATGTCGTGATGGTGCTGAAAATGGCGGCGTTGGAACGGCCTCGTCGAGAGCTGTCCGAAATGTATTGTTCATTTTCGGCATCCTCTTCGAGCTTTGAAGATTGGTCCAGGGGGTGTGATATCTTGTGCAACATACTCCCGGTAATAACTTTCGCCTAACTGCGGAGACCACGCACGCAGAAACAACCAACAAGGCGCCCTCGACCGGAGGAGAATTACTGAACTTCAGCGCTACGGCATGAGTTGCAGGGTCACTAACGTGCACCAAGATCTCGCTCCCGCCGTGTGGCAGCTTGTCACGAATCTAGACCGCGCCTTGGCCGCCAAGAGCGCCTCCCAAACAAACGCAACCGCGGAAAGAGGGGAAGGGTCACTGCAGGAGCGACCCCACCAACTTCGTGAGCCCCAAATTGCCGACTCCTCACGCAACCCTGCGTTCGGTTTCTTGGCCCCAACGCCGAAACCATCAACGTAAACTATTTTCTCTTCAACACCAACCGACTCAGAACATGTCTTCGATCTATTTGCGCCACGTGCCATAGCGTGTGTGTGGGGAGCTCTATGGTCTACAGTGCACGAACAAGGTCGAATCTAGCCGTGGACCTTAGCGAAGAGCGCTTACAGCAGCCTCGTGGCAATCGGCTGTGCCATCATCGTGCTCCGACCCAGAGCCAGCGGCACTTGTCGTCGACCGCTGGTTTCTTGGGGTCTCGCCAAGTCGCCTTCAACTACTACTGCACCCAGATCTGTTCAGAACCGATGGCTAGCGACCGGCACCTGCAGCAGCAATGCCCGAATCCTCTGTACAAACACGGCCCATCACGGACCTCGAAGTTCGCCTCAGAACGAACTACGTATTCGTATAGCCTTCTAAAGCATACCGCACTTTTCTATTACCACCGGCTTCTTGGGTTTGTTGGTGCCCCCCTCCACCTTGACGCGCTCTATCAGGTGCACCACGTCCATCCCCTCGGCAATTCGCCCGAAGGCCACGTAGCGGTTATCCGCCCACCCCGCGTCATCCTTGATGGAGATGAAGAATCTGGTGGGGTGCACGAAAGGCACAGACGCGCGCAAGCGTTCGCAAGCAGTTGGAAGTCGAGCAAAAGACGACACGACTCGTGAGCCAGAGTTTATGCCAGCACTCTTATCTGCAGTATCTCTCTCTCCCCGCCTTGTAATTTTTCTTCTGATTCTGCCACTGCCGGGATGCTCGTCCAAGAAGGCAGGAGGAGGCTGACGCCGGTATTGTAGTATGTACGTGAAACCGAGCCATGTTGGCAGAACCACACACCGTGGGGTGAGAACGACCTTGCAACTCACGTCAGCTGCAATTGAGCGAGCGAGATCCTCACGGCAGTGACTGCCTTGACGGGGAAGAATGAAGCTAAAGGATCCGTGCTTGGCGGCGTAGGGTTCAGAAGGGTCGTTTGCTCACCGGCTGTCCCCCTGCGCGTCCGCGTTCCTGACCATGCTCAGCAGCCCTTCCTTCATGTGCTGCTCAAGGCCGCCACGGCGCATGGGAGAACACGCACACAGGGAGAAAGAGGGCGTCGAAACGCGAGGCACTAGGCAGAGGAAAAAAACACAAGAGAGCATGCGATGCTAACTGCTGTCACCAGTGGCTCTGTATTGGTACAAGGCGGAACGGGATCTTCGCCTGAGTAGCGCCAAGGTTGGGGACACGGCAGGTGCCAGCTCGAACCACGCACAACTCGTGTGCAAGACCAGAGGCAGGCCATTCGTGAGGTACACCAACGCTCATGCCGAAGCGAAAGTCAAGCAGCGTTCGGTTGTTCCACACGAATAAAGTAATTCGGCCCGCCATGTTTGTGCAATCGCTGACGGAAGTGTGAGCGTTCTTCTTACCTTGATGTCGAAGTTTTCCTGCGGGATGTTTTCTCCCGTCGACGACACGCCCGACTTGCCGCTTCTGCTTCCGATCGCCCCCATCTGAGCACAATTGGCGGGCAGAGAAGTTGGGACAAAAGCGTAGATTCCAACGGTGCGAGATGTGTATCAGATTGGGTGTCGACTCGTGGATTGACCGGAGTACCAGCTCTGCGCGCTGCCTGTAGCAGCTCCTACACACGACGGCCGTGTGGATATTTGTGTGACTTCGTCCCACCCTTGCACAACATCACATACCCCTGTGTTGTCACTACCTATGTGAACCTTTGCCTTCCTCCTTTCACGCCTGCAGCGACTGCACACAGCATGGGACGAAATAGAGCGGACAAGGAAGTACCGCAAGTTGCGTAAGATATCACACCCCCTGGACCGATTTTCAAAGCTCGACCACTCCACCATCAATAGGATGCCGAAACTGAAGAAAACGTGTTCGGAAAGATCTCGTGGAGACGGTTCCAACGCCGCCATTTTCGGTGCCGCCACTGCCTTTCCTGCCGAGATATCGAGCGACGAAAATCAATCCAGGAGATGTGATATCTTATGCAACCCATGGTGCGTGATAACCTACACTGCCCCCTAGAGTCGGCACAACTCTAATCGGTTCGGGCCTTTCGCTTCGCACTACAACACCATAGCAACACACACACACCCTAGGTCCTCTTGTCCTCTTTCAGGCGGGCGGTCCTTCGTTGACGATGATGGGTACCATTTACTTGTAGCAATGCCAAAACAATGCCAAGTGGATGGTACGGAATTTTCCCATGTAATCAGGTAGAGCGGAACACTGGGTTATTCGGTGGTACATGGAATGGATATCCAGGGTGTGCTAGGTACCTTGTACTTGGCGTCACCCCATCATTGGGTCATGTGTGTGTGGGAAATTTGAGACGAGATTCATCACAACATACGTTCTTTTTCTGAGCGCGAGCCCGCCGAGTTGCCGGCACCCTATTCAACGCACGTCTACCGGTATGTGACGAGCTACCCCCTGTTCGGGTCATCCTAACGCGGAATTTAGCGTGATATCATTCTGAATCCCGAGGATAGGCTAGCAATGAAAGAGTTCGGCCAAGAGGCACGGCGATGGAGCAGCTGGATGCGCTCTCGGACAAGCAGCGTCGGGCAGTCGATGCGCAGATCAAAGCAGAGGTGGAAAAGTATGGGGGAAGGAATAAAGAGCTATGAAGAAGGAGCAGCAGAGCGTCCCGCGTCACTCGAAGTTGTGAAGCGGAACGCTCTGCTTCAACTTCATAGCTCTTTATTCCTTCCCCCATACTTTTCCACCTCTGCTTTGATCTGCGTATCGACTGCCCGACGATGCTTGTCTGAGAGCACACCCAGCTGCTCCATCGCCGTGCCTCTTGGCCGAACTCTTTCATTGCTAGCCTAACCTCGGGATTCAGAATGATATCACGCTAAACAGCGCGCTAGGATGACCCGAACGGGGGGTAGCTTGTCACATAGACGTGTGTTGAATAGGGTGCCAACAACTGGGCGAGCTCGCGCTGAGAAAAAGAGAGCTGTTGTGACTAATCGAGGGGGCGACGCCAAATACTCTGGATGTCCATTCCACGTAACACACAATGACCCGGTTTTCCGCTCTTCCTCATTGCATGGGAACATTCGTAACCATCCTTGGCATCGCTACAAGTATATCAATCAGCACCGCTGCTTGTGACCTCTCACGAACTCGAAAACACAACAAAATGAACTCAGAAACTCAACTTTCAACTGCCAAAATAGCCTCTTTGGCTAGAAATCGATTTCCATCCCCTCTTCGAAACTAACCTTAGCGATCTAACTGCTCCACACCTGGCACACCTTCCATTGAGACACCCATAGGCAATATTGTAACATTTCTCGCCAGGTGCTTGATCACATATAAATAAACCCATGATCTAAGAGTGTTATCCCATCCTCCCTGCAAAATTAAGATAAAGCTCAAAATCTCCCACGAAGTGCCTTCGTGAGGTCCGCTCGTTGGTATGCCGACTGCACGTGGAACATCGACGATGTCTCCTTCGCCCCCTCTCGAAGATGAGAAGCGCAGACTCAAAAGGTCCACATAAAACGAGATTCCCACAAACTCCGTTCACTGCAAAGACTCAACACCCCCCCTTCGACTGTGGTATTGTCTCGAAGGGAAAGTCGTTGTGAATATCCAGCCCATCCGTGGTGCCTTATAAGACGGGGCACCTCCAACTGCCTTCAGACCCACAAAAAAAGTCAAGCCAAACCACTGCAAACACCGGTCGCCCCGGTGGTCTAGTGGTATCCTCGCAATCCGCTAGTTGCAGAGGTCGTGAGTTCGAAGCCCCATGGGGTGAAAAAGTTACGAAGTGTGCGGGGAGAGCGAAACATAGCTAATAAAAAGCTCTCGTGAGTACCAAACTTCGACGTTAGCATCGTTGAGAAGGGAAAGGGACGGCTGGGCCCTTCTCGCGATAAAAATAAAATTCAGCACGCACCGCAGGAGGAAGGAGGGGCATGGAAGTAAATAAAAAGAAGAAAACAACCCTGGTGTTTACCCCCTCCTGTGTGATCCTGGATGGTTGTAGTTGTACGAAAACATACACTGAAAAGTGTAGTACTCTGCATACGCTGACAAGTGTAGCACATGTCTCACCACGAAAGTAGTACTCTGCATACGCTGACAAGTGTAGCACATGTCTCACCACGAAAAATGGGGGAACTGTATCTTTAATAAATAGGACGAAATCACACAACACAAGACTGCAACAGAGAGCTGGTCCGCACCCCATCCTATCAGCGCCGAGGGCGATAGCCGCACTCAAACCACCCCCCCACACGTCAAGCCAAGTACATTCCAAGTACATTCTGCGTGGTCCCCTAGACCCCCCCCCTCCCCCCCGCAAACCTTGTGCTTGAAACAGAGTCGTGCCTGCCCACCACTGTGAAACGGTTAGTTAGCCCGGATGCCCGATCAACCCATGGCGTATCTGGATTGACACAGCAAACGCAAGGATTATGACCGGATTGTGGTCCATCCTTTTGAAACGTACCCCAGATCGGCGACAACCCGGCATATCGCTCCTTCCCGGCATACGCGAGGTCAATGACCTATCGACTACGGCATGCGCTCAACAAGGGCACCCCCCCCCCCCCCCCCCCCCCCCCCCCCCCCCCCCCCCCCCCCCCCNCCCCCCCCCCCACACACACACACAAACCTGAATGTTTAGGCCGTCGAGCACGCGGTACGCCTCCGTCCCCTGGTACGAAACCCCGGCGGCGTTCTTCCCGGTGATGAGGGCAACGAAGTTCTTCACCGTGTCGGGCACGACCTTCCCGTAGAGCTGGGGTAGGGACAAAGAGACGAACGTGTCGCGAGAAGCGAGGGTGAAGGGTAGACGATGCTGTTCGTCGTTCGCACTCGGCGAATCAAGAAATTCACGTGCTACTTCCGGGGAATTCCATGTAGAGCCCGAGCGAAACGCGTATGATACATATGTGCAAACGCTGTTCGGGATTTTTTTTTTTCAGGGAATATCTTGGGGCACGTTTCATGCACTCGAGCAAGTGGTCGTGCTCTCGGCACCTTCTCAGATCTCAAAAAGGGGAAGTCCCGTGTTCCAGATCCCCACCCGAGGAAGGACAACAAGACTCTGCACCCTTGGAATCTGCCGCGCGTACGAAACATACAGAAACACCGTAAATAAAAATTTGAGTCCACATGCTATGTTCTCTATCATTTTATTACAAGCAGCAACAATCGCGTGCGAGCGTATGCTGGAACCACTGCGAGCGTTCTTCACGCAGGCAGATACATATCTTGATGTGGGATTCGCGCCGGCGCCAAACGAATCAAGAGACGGCACGATGAGCAGAGCAAAAAAAAAAAAATGTCCACCCTTACACAGAGAGCGGCGGAGCAAACGAAGGACGGCGGGGGGGCGGAAGTCCCTCGCGTCCTGAGACCTTGTACAAAAATGAAATAGGTTGCTGTGAGACTGATAAAAGGTTAGCCTTATCAGGCTCGCTCTCACGTTGATCACCAGCCTCCCGGACGGACTTCCCCCGATGGTGATGTCCATGAAGGCCCTCTGGGTGACCTCCGGCTCCTGCCACCCCGCGGCGATCTTGTCGGCGACCATCTTCTCGATGATCTCGTTGTCCGCCACGGCTCGGCCGACCCCCACGACGAGCGGAATCGCAGCCGCGGCGCCCCCGAGGAAAGCTTGCCGCGAGAGCGGGGAGGATGACGGTGCTGGTTGGGCGCGTTCAACACCTGATCAGGATGCATGCGGTGGATCAAATCGTCACGACGAGTAACACGATGTGGGAAGCTTAGTATTGAAACTTGGTTGGAGGTCAAAGGGGGTTATGACAAACTGCTGCCATATTCAGGAAATCATGGGGTAACTTGTCGAGTTCGGCTGCTTGAGGAAAAATGCTCGCCTTCCCAGCCGAGCGGCTAGGTTTTGGAAGGAGCTAGTGGATGGCAGTATTGATAATGTGAAGAGTACGATTAAGGAACCGACAGCGCCCTGTTGGATTGTGAGAGTAAAACTCAATCGCGATGCATATTTTATGCAAGCGGCTGGGTATGGGGCACCCTACTGTAGGAATACCAAGATTATCTCTCGCTCTCTTTCTCGAAGTCCGGGCGACGAGGTCGCCACATATCATGCCTCACATGACGGCAGAGTGACACCCTGGCAAGCCCTGATACAACCACGATTGGGTACTCTGAAACTGATCGAACTCGTACACAGCATAGTAGCCTGCTGCCAAAGCCTAACACGATCTGCTGTTGGTGGTGAAAATGGTTGACCCAGCAAGGACTGCCGTCGGTCGCGCATCGCTCACCGTCATGTGACTGACTCGATTGCGAATCGTTTGCGGGCTGTTGGAGGTCAAAAGTCCCAACAGACCTCCGAAAAGTAGGCAGAGAACAACAAGCGCACATACATGCACACAAAGCACAACGGCTTGTTTTGGAATCTTTCCCAGCGCAGAACCAGAGAGCAACGGGAGAGCGTACGGCAGTGCCCGGGGTATAGGGGTCTGAAGCTGTCCGGTTGGGGGTAGCACTGATGTGAGAGGTTCATGCCTTCGAGACGAGGTAATGCACACGGCGAATTCCAATAAAAAATGTACCAGGGAAGGCCGTTTGGCGCACTGAAGCAGATAAATAGGTAGAGGAAGAAGCGGCATAGTAACGGCAACAACATCAGGCTCAGGCACACAGACGAGTGCAGCCGCAGCCGTGGTGTGACTCAACTCGGAGGCACCCCCACAGAACTGAGCCGCGAGCTTGCCATCTAATTGATGCGTCAAGTTGACATGCACATACATGGTCATGTTTGCAACATGAAAGGGCAGTGGCAGCAGCATCACGCAGAGGCAGGCAGCGGAGTGGAGCTTCGAAACCTCAGCGCGAAAACCTTCCTGGCACACGGCCAAATGAATCCCAGGGCACAGACCGCAGTATGCATGTTTACAGTTTGCTTTCGATCGTAGGTGTGTATCCGCACACATGTCTCGTCTAGCCTCATCTATCCGCGCGGCCGCGATATTTTGCTACGGCTGGTATGCATGTCTCGATCACCCCAGCAAAAACAGGAGACGACTGCAGCATTAAAGCACCTCTCTCGATTAATATGCTAGGGTGAAAAATCGCCCCCCCGCCCCCGGTGGGCGGGGGGTGTACTCATAGTCGCGCATGCCGTAGTCGTACAACCATTGACCTCGCATCCCTACAAAGCCGGGACGGAGCACGCCGGGTGCTCACCGAACCAGGGCGGAGGGGGGCATAGGGTGCCAAGGTCGAGTAGGTCTGCGAGAACGGCCTACGTGTACTGCACGTCTGGGGTCGATACGGTCGTCAATCATCTCGATATGGGATGGCTGCTGCGTGTGCTGGCCCGTCCACAACTGAGAACACAATTGAGACACAAGACACCCGCATGGCACACACAATTGAATCAAGGGCAGGGTACAGCGTATTGGGAAGTCACGGCCCTCGGGTACGATGAGAGTGGCAACCCGTGTCGTCGCGGAGGTGCTGCTTTCTATCGCAGCCGCGACCTTCGATCTCTAACTTGGCGCCATGGAGGCAATGCCTACAGTGGCGCCACGGAGGCCATGCATTGCCTCCATGGCGCCAAGGTACACAGAGATCGAAGGTCGCGGCTGCGAAACAAAGCAGTGCTTCAGCGACGACAGCGGGTTGGCACTCGCATCGTACTCCAGGGCCGTGGTCCAGCACTGCTCTGTAATCTGCCGTTCATCCAATTGTGCGGTCAACTTGACGTTGCATGATCATGAAGCGGTACAAAGAGTACTACAAATAGTGTCTCCAAGTCACGACACTGCTGCTGTAGAGAGGTGATTGGATAACACAGGCACCAGCGTAGAACAACCTAGCCATACAGCAACATGGGCAATGACAATACCCCCTATCCACGCCCCCCGCTTCTCTCTCCCTCTCTCTCACCGTCATGCTGAGACTGGTCTGCCATCCTACAGCTCTTGCCGGGACATGTTCGCATCATGAACCCAGACGCCGTCACCAGGCACAGCGGGAGAAATGCCACCGCCGACCTCATGATAACGCGAAACAGCTACACCACACACAAGCTGGGCGTGGGAAGAGAGAGCAGTTTCGGTGAAGTAGCACAAACACGGACAGTACAGGCAGTCAATTGCAGTGAAAATGAGGCTGGCAAGGACTGCTGCCTGTGCTGTGTTTGATTGACTGCTCGAGAGGTGGCCCCGCAGATGGAAGGAAATATATGGAGAACCCTCACGGAGCCCCGCAGAATAGGTTTGGAACCTCAGAAAGAGCGACTCTGGTGCAACACTCGAAGCTCTCGCACATCACGGCGGATTCCATTGACACGCGCGTACTCAGGGGCCGGAGAAGACTAGCAACACCTTCCACGACGTTCTTCAGACTTTTTTCGCCAGCGAGTTGAGGTTCTCCAGGAATACTCGGGCAGCATGGCGGACACTGAAAACCGGCCGTTGGGTATTTCCAAGGTTAGAAACACCACCACCAGCAGCAGCAGAGCCCATCCCTGACAACAAGCGGCGAAGATCTCAGTGCAGGAATTCCGTAATGCTTGCCTCAACGTCAGGGCGTTCGTGTGTTCTAGCAGTGCTACCAAGAAGCTTAGCAGTTCATGCTTTGGTTTCCCGATACTTTGCCTGGCTCTCTGCTGGACCAGAGGCGGCCTGCTTTCCAGGATGGCTCACACACCAGTTGAACAGCAAGGCCTCGTGACTCTGACATGCATGCATGTAGCTATGTAGCCATGTCTTCTACGGGCACGAAAGGTGTCGACATGCTTACTGCCCGCGCTGCTGAACAGCAAACCGCCCTAGAAATTAGGAGGGGAGGCGTAAAATGCCCGTCTTTTTTCCAGTTTCTTCCATGGCGGTTGTGCGCACCATTGGCATCTTTGTGCCGTTGCAAGATACCCGTTGATCCGCGAAGTACCTTTGACGCCGGTACGGTGGGCAGCGGTGGTCACACCAGCAGATGGCTTGTGGGTGTGGCTTGTAGGTGTTTGAGACCCTAGAGAACTATGAACCTGGTGTACAGCGGACCGTTGTATGCCCGTGATGCACTGGATGTCGCCGGCCGTCGGTCGGCTGTCACTCTGACCAACGTGTGTCGCAGCACTGAATACTGTAGATTACGTACATACAATGTCGCCTACCGCAGTACTGCTGTGTACATGTACTGTAGGTCCCTGGCAGCAGCAGTTGGGCGAGTGTCGAGCACGCAGCTGTTTTCATGCGATAGACATGCTATTGAAGATAAGTCTGTTTACGTACTGCTGGCGTCCCCGCTCCCTCACCAGTAGCGTTCGATGCGTACGTACGGCAGCGTAGCGTTACGCCTACCTTGACTGATGTTGGCGCAAAGTAGGGGCGACAGGAGGAGAACCGGCCACCTGTGTACTCGCCAAAAATCGGGGATATAACCTCAAAGCACGGAGGGCCTTCCCCGAACCATCGCATGACAGGGAGATGGGGACTATTCGTCCTGCCGGCGTGCAATACATAATGCTGTGGTGCATGCATTCAACTATTATACTTAGTATGTAATAGTACGCGTTCCCACAGTAACCTGTTGGCTTTGTCTGTAAACACTACACACCACGTACTGCTGTCGTGCATGCTTACACGTACATCAGTGTAGTGTAGTATAATGTCTAACCAAACCCCTTGGCTTTTGTTTGCAAAACGTGAACTGCATCCACGTTCCGTTGTCTTCACAGAAACCTGGTTGGATTTCGTCTGGTAAACCCCACTGGTCTCACAGAAATCTGCTGGCTTCGTTTGAAAACGTCTCAGGGGAGCAAGGCCAAGGGCGGCAAGAAGGCCCCCCTAGGCTCTTCCCTAGGCGGCGGCACCAACAGCAATGGCGGCGTCCAAACGGTGGAGCAGAGGTATCAGAAGAAGACCCAGCTCGAGCACATCCTCCTTCGCCCGGACACGTACAGTGAGTGCTCGACGAAGACAAGACCAAACGCCGCATGGTTGCAAAAATGCCGGTTGACGGACAGTAGCCTTCGCAAGGTTTGCTATTTCAACAAACATGTTGGATTAAGGATACATACAATCGGGTTAGTTGTGTTCAGGGATAGGGATAGGGTCTGCGTGCCCCTTCCCTGTTCCATTTCCTCACTCCCTTGGTTTTTCTGGCGAAGGCGGTCCTTGACGGACATTTGTATTGTACCCTTGACAGACGATTTTTTGGTTACAACCGCTCCGCTTCTCTCTCGCTGTGTCGCCGAGGCAGCCGGGACATCTACACTGTACAAGCAGCACCATACTATACCGTAGATTTGTGACACGTTGATGCCACAACAGCTGTGAATGACGATGGGTATGATGGTCCTTCGGTCTGGCAGACTAGTTTTCCGTCTTCCTTTCGCTTTTTGTTGTTGGCGAACCGGTTGCGGGGAAGATCTCACCCTTCACCGTTAAAATTCAAGGCCTCAGAAGAAGCTGCTTGTGTTCCCAATATCCGAGACTCGATCGCCCGGATCATTTCTACACCCGCGCATAACGTCACAACGTGGGTAAAGTACAAGCGTCTGCAGCCGTAGGTGTGCTAGGCTTCAGAGTAGATGCTGTTCTCTGCAGGACTGCGTGTCTTGGAAAACAGAGCATGCTCGACACCAGCGGTGGTGAGAATCCACCCTGGGTTGCCGGTGCTATTTTCGTTGCACTATGGCCTCGGGACATGGTGTCTCTGCTACGTTACACCTGTCTCAGCATCCGCCCGGCATCGGCTCGGAGGTCGGGCTACATACTCGGCCTTGACCCCTTTTCGCACGCGAACGAAGCTACAGGCTCTATATATTTCAGTGGACCTGTGTTGACTCTATTGTGAATGTAAACGAGTGCAATTTCTTGTGCGCGCCCACCAGTCGTACCATGGCGGTTCTTAAAGCGGACCCGCTTTGATTTCCCTTGTGACCGTAAACGCGTGTAAACTTGTGCGTGGAACAGTTGTATCATGGCGGTTCTGATTGCCGACCGCTTTGATTCCCTTGTGAATGTTTAAGCGCGTGTTAAATTGTGTGAGTCCGCCAGTCGTATCATGGCGGTTCTGATAGTCGACCCCGGCTTTGATTTCGCTTGTGACCGTCAACGCGCGTAAACTTGTGCGTCTAACAGTCGTATCATGGCGGTTCTGACAGTCGACCCGCTTTGATTTTCCTTGTGAATGTTTACCGCGTGCAGACTTGTGCGTCTACCTGTCGTATCATGGTGGTTCTGACCCGCTTTGATTTCCCTTGTGAACGTAAACGCGTGTTAAAATTGTGTGCGTCCACCAGTCGGGTCTACGGAGAAGATGTCGCAGGAGATGTGGGTCTACGACGAGGTGGCAGACAGCATCGTCAAGCGCGCGGTCACGTTCGTGCCCGGGCTGTACAAAATCTTCGACGAGATCATCGTGAACGCTGCCGACAACAAGCAGCGCGACGAGAACATGTCCAAGCTCAAGGTGCGTCGCGTCGACTCACCCATGCACCCACTTGTAGCGAGAAGGGTTGCCCGTGGCAGGTCATTTTTGGTTCCCTTAGTTGACAGCCGTTAGATCATTCGGAAACGTGGGTTTTCTTTCGCGTTACTCCAATGCCTACAGGTAGGCGCACTTCGTTGAAGTGGGTTATTAGGCTCCGAACTTGTCCCCAGTACCAGATACTACAAAAACCCGCCATTCAAGAGAAAACTTTGCCTCCTGTAGTTACGATCCTACAGATGTCCTGGTTTTCTAGTTGGTGTTCACCTGCCGTACTGATTCCCGAGAGTTTTGTCAGTTGAAAGTGCCGAAACAATAGAATCCTTCCGTTCCTGCATCCACGAGACAGCCCTGTATTTCTCAATTGGAGTCCGCTTTCAAGGAGGTCGTCCAATGTCCAACATCCCCCCCCCGCCCCTCCGAACGTCCCTTCTCACCCCCCGGCCCCCTACTGGGTACCCTCCCCCCCACCCTGGCTGCCGGCCCCCGTGCTGTGCACCCATCTACGACGACGACCAGGTGACGTTGGATGCAGAGAGCGGCAAGATCTCAGTCTGGAACGACGGGGCGGGCATCCCCATCCAGATGCACAAGGAGCACCACATCTACGTGCCCGAGCTAATCTTCGGCAACCTGTTGACTGGCTCCAACTTCGACGATGACCAGAAGAAGACCACGGGCGGGAGGAACGGCTTCGGAGCTAAGGTAGGGGGGTGGATGACCTTGTTGTTGATCGTGCGGCTGTTGGTGCTGGTGGTAGCGGAAGGGTTGATGCTGCTGCTCCTAGGGGAGGTTGTTGATTGGTGTTGCTGGTAGCGGAGTTTGGATGTTGCTACGCCTGGTGCGCCTGGCGATGTTGTTGGTGTTTGTAGTAGCGGCGGAATTTGATCTTGCTAACCCCGATGCGCCAGTTGTTGGTGGGCGTGCGGGTGGGGGTGGAAAAGCGTTTTTATTGAAGACGTTGTAGCCGAAAGGCCCGCTCTTGGGGGTTAGAGATACGTTGACTGCTGTGGGTCAACGATGTAGACTGCTGTTCGGGTAGACACAGCATGATTCTGCCGTAGCTGTGCCAGTGATGGATGGCTTTGTTCGCTTTAGGTTCCACGCACACCCAGCACGTTTGTTGACACCATCCCTTCCACAACGTTTGATGCCGCCTTCCCACCCGCAATAGCTATCTGGTGTGCGTGTGTGGTCGATCCCTGTGGCAGTGACGTATCGTTCTGGGCGCTTTTGGTTCCACAAACACCGGGTACGACTTGTCAACAAGCATTGCTTGCACAACGGTTGATGCCGCCTTCCCATGTCTCTCTCGTGTGTGTGTGGGTGTTTGGTTCGGTCGGTGCCTGTCCGTGTGGTTCCGTTCTCCAGCTGGCGAATATCTACTCGACGGAGTTCGTGGTGGAGACTGCGGACCGGGATGCGGGGAAGCACTACCGACAAGTGTTCCGAAACAACATGCAGGAGAAGGTATGCCCCTAATTGCTGAACATGTTTAGTGATAGCTCTAAATTCCTGGTTCAGGAAGCTCAAGGAGTTGCGTGCTGAGAGCTGGATGCCTTTGTGTTGTCAATTATCCGATTGATTTAATAAAAAAGTTTTGGAGGTACAATAGCGATGCCATCCACCACGTGGAACGCCCTCATCTTTCGCGCAACCCCAACTCCGAACGCGCCTCCTTCCAATGCGCGACTTGATGCTTCTCGGTGGTGCACACCCCATGCTGTCAAGTTGATAAAAAAAAATGGTCTTCTACCGAGGTTCAGTTCTGTACGTGAACGCCAGCACGAACGACATACCCATCGATCCTTTCCAAGGTTGTCCGAAAAGGGACTTGTTGGCAATGCAATAAAAGTGAAGTGGTCTTTTCAAAGCTTCTCTCTTGAGGTGTGTTCTTAGAAGTTTGGCTCACTCCCTTTTGTGGAGGAATCGGGAAAAAGGAAGAACAGATATTTGTTCGTCCCGCGCGTTAATTGCCCTGACATTGCTGCGCGTGTGTTGCGTTTTGTCCGGGCCGTCTTTCGACAGTCGCGAACGACGCGCGCGTTGAATGCTCTGACATTGCTGCGCGTGTGTTGCGTTTTGTCCTTGCCGCGTGTTGTACAGCAAGCACCCGAGATCGACTGTGACTACGAAGGTCCCGACTTTACCTGCATCACCTTCACCCCGGACTGGAAAAGGTTCCACATGACGGGAATGGAGTCCGATACGATCGCCTTGCTGAGGAAGGTGTGTGGTGTGTTCTGCCGCGCGGCGGTTGGGTGGTGCCGTAAGAGCTTTTGTGTCCATGGATGAGAGAAGGCTGGTCTACCCACGTGACTTTCTGTATGTGACGTAGGCTTACGGGTTGTTTTACGAGAGGTCATGGTGAGGTGTGAGACGCAGGGTTATGTGCGTCCGGTGCATCTGGCGAAGGCATTCTAGCGCCGTCATGCACCACACCAAAGAAGAAGCTGCCGTACGAAAACGCGATGCTGCATCAACGGTGATGAAGGAGGCGACCCACTCTCCGACCGCGCTTATGGCACAAGTCTACTTTGCCTGCAAGGACTCGTGGTGTCCATGATATTGTACACTGGCGGACCCATGGTACAATACAGCAGTAATTGGGTGTGCTCGTTGAATACCGTGTTTGACGATTGGACCACATGTTATTGTCGTCCCGTTCAGAACCGTCCGCTCCCGCTCAGTACCTCCAAATATCCGTGTACTTGTCCAACTGACGCATGGCAATTTTTTTTTCCCGTGTGTTGTGATACATCGAATACCAACGACAGCGCGTGTACGACATGGCGGGGTGCATGGGAGGCTACGCCGGCGCCACCGTGAAGGTCTACCTGGACAACCGTCGCGTGAAGGTGTCCGGCTTCAAGGACTACATGTCCATGTACGAGGGGATGGAGACTCCCGTCATCTTCGAGTCGATCGGGGACCGCTGGGAGGTGGGCGCAGGGGAGGGG